CCCAGGAGCAGCAGTTATTGCTTCTCGTGGGCGCTTGAAAACGAGGACTCATACGCTGTCCTCACAGATCACATTGGCAGATAGTTGCCTCAGTTGGTCCGATCTCTCCCGCTGCATTTTTGCAACCCTAAACCCTAAACCCTAAAATTAAAGCCCTAAACACTCCACAGCCTGCAATCCTGATCCTGAAAAGCCGAACTCTGGTCGAGCTCGGCTGCTTGCTCAGCAACTGCATCCTCTGTAGGACCGCTGCGGGTATACTGTTGTCGGTACCTGCACGAGTTCAACCAGGGGTATAGGGTTTGGGGTTTAGGGTTTAGGGTTTGGGGTTTGGGATTCGCACGCAGCATGGCTGCATTCAGCGTTTCGGTGTCTGCCGGGACGAAGAGTTGTAGTTCCCTTTGTTGAGGTACCTAAGATCGTACATCAAATGATCTCGGCTACAGGTACAAGCCCCGACCATGAACAATTCAGGGTCCAGGTATGCCTTGGCAGCTTAAGTGCCTGGGCCTACGGGTTAAAGAGTTTGGGGCTTAGGGTGTAGGATCATGGACGCAGGTTTGTTGGGGGCTTTTGGGGGCTGAGGGTTTAGGATTCCTAAACCCTAAACTTAGCTAAACCCTAAACCCTAAACCCTAAACCCTAAACCCTAAACCTTAAACCCTAAACCCTAAACCCTAAACCCGAAACCCAAACCCGAAACCCTAAACTAGGTTCTGGAGTGGGCCATGAGAGAGCGCCTCGCCATATCAAGGTGGTCTCCAGCGCACGAGCGATTTGTCTGGGTGTGGCCAGGGGTGCCTCGCAAGACACAAAATCTCAAAGCCCAAGCCTTAAACCAAAAACCCTAAGCCCTAAACCTTAAACCCCATTTTGGCTGGGGGGGAGGGGGGTCCTCTAATGGGGTGCATGGGCGCGCCACTGTTGGGAGGGCTGTCGAGGGTTCCGGGTTCCCTTTTTTGCCATGGGACTTCGTAGAGAGCAAGCCTCAAAAGCTCACGGCCCTAATTACCCCTTCAGCTGTTGTCCCGGCAACAAAGGCCATCCTCCAAACCTTGCCTATAAAGCCCAGACCGAAAGCCCTAAACCCTAAACCCTACACCCCCTAAAGCCTTAAACCCTAAATCCGCGAACACGTCCGGCCTGGATGATGCCAGGCTTTCCCCTGCCAGGATCGCCATCTTGAGGTGGCGCGTCGCATTGCCGCGAGCTACTTCTGCTGAAACTTCGGTCGGGCGGGTCCGCGAATTGCCGCGAGCTACTTCTGCTGTAGCTTCGGTCGGGGGGTTCCGCGGCAGACCACACATCCATCTCCAGCCTTTAGATGCCGAGGATTTAAAGTTTTTGGTTTAATTATAGCTAGGGTCTATAGGATTTGCTTTTAGGGACTGCACAACGCCCCATACTTCCGGTCACCCCCCAAAAAGATGTCGCAAAACAGAAGCTGAACCCATGCCGCGGCACAGAAGCCGCTTGATTTCCCACTCTTGAAAACTGGGCGCCATGATCTTCAGCTGTTGTAGTAGCTCGGAGTTGGAACCTGCTTCATAAGGGGGTTTCACAAAATTAAGGGGGTACCTTCTTGGGGTCCTCATTATAAGGGAATCCTCTCATAAGGGGCGAGGGTTCAAAGGGCTTCAGCCGGGGGATTGGTAAAGGAAGGCACACTGTTTTGGAGAAGTAAGATTTAAATAAAGGGATCCGAAGACCCGAAGGGGATACGGGTACTGCTGGGCATGTCAGATGGAGGTCTGGCGTCACGATTGCTTTGCAGTGTGAGTGGGCTTGAAGGCTTTAGGGCCTTTCGGGTTTGTGGTTAAGGGCTTGGGTGAGGGAATGCTACTTGTGCAGCATCTGCCCTCAGGGTCTATGTACCTATACAGTTCATACTCGGGCCTTACAGCCGCTTAGGGTTTAGGGTTTAGGGTTTAGGGTTTAGGGTTTAGGGTTTAGGGTTTAGGGTTTAGGGTTTAGGGTTTAGGGTTTAGGGTTAAGCCCTCTAAGGCCAAATACTATGTAGCAACATGGACGTTCAGGGACTGTGCATGCAGTCGACAAGAAGAGGCGTAGTGCATCTTTGATGCCCCCACATCTGTGATTTCTGGTACTGCATTTTTTGTGAACCTACCTCCACAACCACCTCCCCCCTAAAGCCTAGAGACCCTAAGCGCCAAAAACACCCAAACCGAACAAACAACCCTAAACTCTAAATCCCCAAGGCCCTAAACCCTAAAGACCCTGAACCCTGAACCCTAAACCCTAAACCCTAAACCCTAACCCCTAAACCGTAAACCCTAAACCCTAAACACACTAATCCAAAGCCCCAACTTGGGGTGTTCCCTCTTATACTAACAGTCCTTACTAGGATTACAGTACCCCCCCCCTGTGATATTCCCTACTATAAGGGCTGTTAGTATACGGGGGAACATCCCAACCCCCCAAACCTAAACCCTAAACCCTAAACCCTAAACCCTAAACCCTAAACCCTAAACCCTAAACCCTAAACCCTAAACCCTAAACCCTAAACCCTAAACTAAAACCCTTAACCCTAAACCCTAAACCCTAAACCTTATAAAGCCTCAAACGCAATTCCCATAACGCTCGAGGCGCCCCCCTCAACGTCGCGGAGATCTTCTCGGAGGCCCTCGCAGACTCTCCGAATCTCAGAGACAAGGACATCCTCCGTCAAGGGTTTAGGGTTTAGGGTTTAGGGGTTTAGGGTTTAGGGTTTAGGCTTTAGGGTTTGGGGTTTAGGGTTTAGGGTTCCCAACACCTACCCGAAGCCTCCAATGTAGCTCCTTCTTGGGATAGTTATAGGGGATTCTCCAGTAAACCTTACATCCTCAACCCAACATCGATGGCGGGGTCCACAGCGGCCGGGAACCCTAAACCCTAAACCCTAAAACGCAAAACCCTAAACCCTGAATCAATGAAAAAACACACGCAGTACGACAATGAAAAATGAACACGGGAAAAGGCGTCGTGGGTTTAGATTCGGGGGGCGGGGGTCTAGGTTCTGAGATGTATCTTACCCTCAAGCCACAAACCTCGAAGCATCCATCAAGCAAACGCCAAACCGTAGCCGTTTCGGGTTGATTGAAGGTTTAGGGTCAAGGGGAGAAGTCATGTAGGGTTAAGGGGAGAAGTCACTCTGATTCAATAGCCCAAGCTGTGTTCTCATTCTTTCAGATGCCTTGAACCCTAAACCCTAAACCCTAAACCCTAAACCCTAAACCCTAAACCCTAAACCCTAAACCCTAAACCCTAAACCCTAAACCCTAAACCCTAAACCCTAACCCTGAACATGGCGGTCCTGTTCCGCTGCATCGCCACCATCTAAGCTGAAGTTGGAGGGCAAATGACCAAGCATCCGGTGCCTTTGCAGAAGGTAACTTCAGTTTAGGGTTTAGGGTTTGGGTTTAGGGTTTAGGGTTTGGGGTTTAGGGTTTGGGGTTTGGGGTTTAGGGTTTAGGGTTTAGGGCTCCGGCCCTACACCCTAGCCAAAGACCGCAGGCCCTGAATGTCTTGTGTCTGACGAGGCTTGTTCTGGGGGTGAGCTTGTGTGCCTGGGGGGCTTGTACGGGTGGTTACCCTTTCATGTCCACGGTGTCAGCTCATTCCCAAGAGCCCAAACCCCAACCCTAAACCCTAAACCCTAAACCCTAAACCCTAAACCCTAAACCCTAAACCCTAAACCCTAAACCCTGAACCCTAAACTCTAAACCCTAAACCCTAAACCCTAACCCTGAACCCCAAACCCTGAACCCCAAACCCTAAACCTTAAACCCTAACTTCCAAGAAGGGAATCTGGGAAACTCTATATCCTAAAGCCTATACTGGGGCACAGGATGGAGTTGAGATACTGGACAGCCACTGGCAACGAGCAAGACAACACCTGCGCAGTTTCGGGTTTAGGGTTTAGGGTTTAGGGGTATCTCTCACTAGCCCTAAACCCTAAACCCTAAACCCTAAACCCTAAACCCTAAACCCTTGGAGTGGCCTATTCAATGCAAGCCCAGGTTCAAGCCAAAAACAGAGAGCCTCGAGCTCAATCGGGTGACCTCTCTCAAGCCCGAAGCTTCTTGGGTTTAGGGGGTTTAGGGTTTAGGGTTTAGGGTTCAGGGTTTAGGGTTTAGGGTTTGTGTTTTGGGTTTAGGGGGTTTAGGGTTTCGGGGGTTTAGGGGGCTTAGGGGGGTTTAGGGGCTTAGGGGGTTTAGGGGGTTTAGGGGGTTTAGGGGGTTTAGGGGGTTTAGGGGGTTTAGGGGGTTTAGGGGGTTTAGGGGGTTTAGGGGGTTTCGGGGGTTTTGACACTGAACCCCTGAACCTTGAATCCCCTATAAGATCTGAGATGTAAACAAATTACCACTTCCAACAAGCTCAATTCATTCTTTGGGGATGGGGACCTAGGTTCAGCGCATCTTTTCAATATGACATGATTATTGGACCCAGGAGAAACCTAGGAATGAAAAGGGTACCCTTTCTGATTTCCAGCGGATTATCAGGGAACCCCAACCCTAAAATAATAAGGGGCTACTCTGGGTCCTAGTACCTGGCGGCTGTTTTTCGGTGAATCCCGCCGGCCTAACAGGCCTGCCGGCCGCTATCTGTCGTCCTATCTGTCCTGCGTCCTGCCCTGCTATCTGGCCTCCTCACGTCCTCGTTCCTGTCCTACCTCCTGTCATGTCCTATCTCACAGAGTAGTATAGGGCGGCGTGTTGTTGTTTCTTGTGGAGGACTCACGGTGGGCCATAGCAACAACCCCACCGATGGTGGGAAAAAATACTACAAAACATAAGGAGCATAAAGTAAATCTGATCTGTATATATACAACAAGCAAGTAAAGCATAAGGAAACATACACAAACAGTACATATCTATGTACATAAAAATCAAAAAATCAGGAAAATATATATGCACATACAAAACGCACGTATCAAACATAAGGCTACAATACCAACAACGTATAACACTAATGTGAAGATGAAGAACCCAAAAGAAAATTCAGCATACCTGGAAACACCACCAAGTCAAAACGTGTAAGGGTTACAAACCCAAATGTGAAGGAAATATGTGGACAAATCCACTAAGTCTAAAGAATGCATGGATTTAAAAATTAAAAACAAAACGATATACAAAAAAAACACAGAAAAATATAGTAATATAATAATTATTATTATAAAAACAAATAAACAAAATCAACCAAAAAAAACAAGATGTGGGGGAAGAAAAGGCGCTCTCAGGTGGGGGATCGCGCCTTCAGCTCCCCGACCACGTCGAAGTCGGGCACGGTGTAGGACATGGGGTGGCAGAGGTGCTTCCTGGGGCTTTCACTCGCAGATAGGGTGCGTACACATGTACATATATATATATATATACATATACATATATACATTAATTTCTACGCATAAATGAATAAATATATATATATATATGTATATGTATATGGATATGCGTGGAGTATACAGTAGGGGCTGCGGGTCTAGGGTTTAGGGTGACGCCCCAGATATACTGATATATTCCCTACTCCTTTGCGGTCTGAGAACTTTAGGGGGTTTTGCCGCTTTGAGGGAGACTGTTTGAGGCAATCCTGTTTGCTTTTAAAAAAACACCAGAAGTGTTTCCTAAGGCGACGATAGCCCCTAAACCCTAAACCCTAAACCCTAAACCCTAAACCCTAAACCCTAAACCCTAAACCCTAAACCCTAAACCCTAAACCGAAGAACCAGGCGTCAGCTTGACGTTGAAGTCGGTCTGCATTTCCACTACGGGCAGGTCGTTTGGGTCCTCCCCAAATGGCTGGTCAATCTCCTGTCAGGGATTCCACCCTGTGGGTTTAGGGTTTGGGGTTTGGGGTTTAGGGTTTAGGGTTTGGGGTTTCGGGTTTAGGGTTTAGGGTACGCTAAACTTGGGATGTTCCCCTTATACTAGCAGTCCCTCATCGGGATTGTAATGGGGTTACTATAACCCCAATTAAGGACTGTTAGTTTTCGGGGGAACATCCCAACCCCAAACCCAAACTCCTTAACCAAAGCCTCCCCAACCCAAACAACACTAGCAAACAGCAAACACACTGGCGAACGCGCCCTGAGCACTAACACCCTCAACTCATGCCGACCATTAGGGGCTTCTTTCATTCACTCGAGAGCATGGGTGGATCGGATCCAATTCTCCGAGCACAAGATCTCCTGTCTGGTCTTTGTTTGCATGGGCCCGCCTTACTTTAACGAAACCCATCGGTCAAAGCTGAAATTGGTGCGATTTGCCTGGCACGGCAATACAGTTCCCTGCCCGCAGGCTGCATCTCTAAATGATTGTGATTGCAGAGCGATGTTGATTCGTGGATGCCGAGACCTCCATATGATGGAAACCCATGCATGTGTGCCCCCAACCCTTAACCCTAAACCCTAAACTCTAAACCCTAAGCCTAACTCTGCACGAGGCTTCAACATGTCTTGTGCTGGCGCCCGTGTCTGTCTACAGACCTGCACACCCTTAAATCTACGGCTTAGGGTTTAGGGTTTAATTAATGGGGTTAGGGACCGAATGCGCCATAGGTGCCTGGAAGCAGCCGCTTGGCCATCAATACCCCAAGGTTTGGAAGCTTCTCTCTACTCAGGTGACCCCTGAGTTTTCCTACATTACACGCTTGGCCATGAATATGTTGAGCTGCTTGCTGTGAAGAAGCTGGAATTTTGTGTATGATTTCAGCCCTCGCCGCTCTGACGCCCCGCCCAAGTTTTCTTCAGACGACTGCACCACTTGCCCAAATAGGGTGTCCTGCGCAATATAGAACAATGTCCAGTAGGAAGTGGACACAACGAACACGACACACGCCTCAGCGGCATTTCGAGGCCCCCCAAAAAAACTCCTTCATGCTCTTTAAAGAACCCTCAGCCCGAACCAGGAATTGGGGCTGAGCACTTTAGGGTTTAGGGTTTGAGGTTGAGGGTTTAGGGTTTAGGGTTTCGGGTTTAGGGGACATTGGAAGACAGAGCTTTCTCAAGAATCATCTGAGACGCCGCCCACCATGGTTGCAGGACCATCTGGCTGGCAATCACGGGAGTCAGCATCCAGTGCGCGATGAGCATACATGACAAGTACCTTAGGGCTGTTTAGGGTTTAGGGCTTAGGGTTTAGCCAGCCAAAACCCTAAACCCTGCACCCCAAACCTGGGTCCTAATGTTGGACTCGCTTTAGTACGTAGGGGTCCCCCCCCCCCCCCGCCCCCCAAACAATTTTGGGGTTTTCGGGGATCCTGAATAGTGTGGGCTGGGGCTGGGACGGGGCTGGGGGTAGGGCGGCTAGGGGTCGAGGGTTGAGGGGAAGCCTTGAAGCTTGAGGGTCTAAGCTTTCCAGGCTTTGTAGCTCCACGGTCGCCGGGGCTCCGCATAAATGCGGACCACCGAAACAACTTGCTAAAGCGAATCAGGGCAGCTCGTGGGCTACTCCCTTGGAAAATTGTTTGGGGGCCTGTTTCGTAATGAAATTTTAAAAGGAATTTAAATAAGGCTGGACACCGAAAAAAATTCCGGAGTTTCTTATTCAAAACTGTTTTTAGTTTTTGGCTCCCCGGCCCCCCGCCCTTCAACCCCGGCCGGCAAACATCGCATAATTGAGGACCACCCTAAACAATGGGGGGTCCCCTATAGGATTTCCGGAACATCGCATAATAGTGCCCCTTCTCACTAAAGCCAGTCCAACATTAAACGCGAGTGATTTTTTTTGAGGTGAGGCAGTTGCGAGACTGAGCGTGGTATGCTGCATGTGAGCCACAGCCAGACGAAATCCCGTCCATGACGAGACCTACGCAAGTCGGTTCCAGCATAAACCGCTTCGTTGCCCTGTAAACCCTAAACCCTAAACCTGAAACGCTGTAAACCTCAATGGAGTCATACTCGGACCCCGAAGGATGTGCCCCGAAGAGGTCTCCCTGAATGCATTCCTAACATGGCCCTCCTATTCCCTTAGATAAACCCTAAACCCTAAACCCTAGACCCTAAACCCTAAACCCTAAACCCTAAACCCTAAAGAACAGGTCCCCAAACCCAAGGGTACCACCTCACCCTATGGGTCCATGTACCTCAGTAGGGAATACTTGGGCCTTAAAAGTGCTTGCTAGATAGGGATTTTGGGGCCCAAGTATATAATAATTAGGTACATGGACCCTTGGGGTCAGGGGGCCCAAGGTAGAAACCCTAAACCCTATAAACCCTAAACCCATATCAACCCTGAGCCCAGGCGCTGCGTGTACGGGAAGGGGAAGGGCACGTCACGAATCTTTCGCAAGTTCGTCACCCCCACCATCCCACGTGAGAGCTCCTGATGTGTTAGGGTTCAGGTCTTTGGGTTTAGGGACTTTTGGGTTTTGGGTGTAAGGTTTAAGGTTGTAGGGTGTTGGGTTTGGGGAGTTTAAGGTTTAGGGCTTAGGGTCTGAGTGAGTGAGTGAGTGAGTGAGTGGACGGCCTGGGGTGCACTCCGGCCAACGGAAACGTTCCCTCCCGCCATCTCTTCCCCCCTCCGCTTGCGTCATTGGGGAGGTCCGGCAAGAGTTCGACGCTCCGAGCCCCTCAATCCGAGCTGGGAAAACACCCGAACCTCCATGGGCCCGCCCCCCCAAGCCGGGCGGCTTGGGTTGGATTTGGGCACTTAGGCAAGACAGCCCACTTCACAGGAACAGAAACTCTTCCCCTTGCGATCCCTCACAAAGGTACTAAGCTGGGGGCATTGGCTCGGAGACAGGGCTTGGGGTGCGGGGTGGTCGTACCAAACACGCACACACGCACCGGCAGCAAGACTAAGGGAAAAAGCAAGTTCAGCTAATCCCCTTTTGGCTGCACAAACTCCAACAGTATCCCCTTGGCATGCGGGGCAATGCCTGCAACTCAAGGCACCGCCCCCGACCAGAAGGGGGGCTTAGGGTCTGGGGGTCTAGGGAGGGATTGGGGGCCGTGCAGGGATCGGGCTGAACCGAAACCACCTGAAACTGAAACCCTAAACCCTCGGCCCGAACCACAGAACCCTAAACCCCAAACCCAAACCCGAAAACCCTGAACCCGAAACGCTAAACCCTAAACCCTAAACCCTAAACCCTAAACCCTAAACCCTAAACCCTAAACCCTAAACCCTAAACCCTAAACCCTAAACCCTAAACCCTAAATCTGGAAACCTCTGCCCGAACGTCGTGCTTTGGTTCCCCCGAGGCCAATTCAAAAATCTTCCGGGAGCCTGTGGGTTGGATGACACTAGACTCAGGGTTTAGGGTTTAGGGTTTCGGGTTTAGGGTTTAGGGTTTAGGGTTTAGGGCTGAGGGTTTAGGGGTTTAGGGTTTAGGGGTTTAGGGTTTAGGGTTTAGGGGTTTAGGGTTTAGGGGGGTTTGGGGGGGGGCGGATCTTCAAGTTGACTTCAACAGCCCTTCCCCGAAGCGCCGCGTCCTGAAATGCCCGGGAAAGGATCGGCTGGCTCACTTCCAAGAGGCCATCCCGATCAGCCTGGGCCGTTTGTTGTGGGAGCTTCGGCCGGTTTAGGGTTTAGGGTTTAGGGTTTAGGGTTTAGGGTTTAGGGTTCAGGGTTCAGGGTTCAGGGTTCAGGGTTCAGGGTTCAGGGTTCAGGGTTCAGGGTTTAGGGTTTAGGGTTTAGGGGGCCTCCATCACAAGCCGCTCGATCCAAAGGAGGACAGTCTCGCACCTGCGGAGTGGAACGGGTGGGCCGACTCCTTCCTGAACACCCGGAACTTGGGATGTTCCCCCCCTATACTAACCTAAACCCTAAACCCGAAGCCCGAAACCCGAAACCCGAAACCCGAAACCCTAAACCCTAAAACCGAAACCCGAAACCCTAAACCTAACAGTTCTTAGTGGGATTCTAGTACCCCTGTGATAATCCTACTAAGGACTGCTAGGGGAACATCCCAACCCTGAACCCTAAACCCTGCCTAAAGCCCCAAAAGGTTCCAAGAAAGGTAGCTGGGGCCCACTGAACCTCTGCGCCCGAAACCCTTACCCGATACATCCTACACCACAGAGCCCCGCAGAAAAAAAAAAAACAGAATGATAGGGTAAAGGGAGGGAATTCAAGGGGGGGGGTGTAACCCAAGGTTCCCTAATACTCCCCACTACTCCCTAAGGCTCCCTAAGCTTCCCCAAGGTTCCCTGGGTACCGACCTCCCATGAACCTCCCCTCCCTTAAGGACCCTATCACAGAAGCCCTTCTTAAGCCAGCACTTGCTGGCTCTTAGTTGGGAACTCGGGAAAAGGTGTATGTAATCTCTTGAAGGGTTATAGACGGGGGATCAGGCAACTAATTCCCCTAAACCCGAAACCTAAACCCTAAACCCTAAACCCTCAGTCCCTACATCCGTTGAAGCCGAAGCTGATAAACCCCCAGACTGCCGAAGCCCCAACTCCCCCCAAAAACCTTGGGTTCAGGGGTTTAGGCTTTAGGAACTTTAGGGTGTAGCCTCTGAACCCGAAATTCCAAGCACCCTGAACCCACAAAGCAAGCTTGAAACTTTTATCCCCTACCATCTCTGTTGTCCATTCGGTGCCTCGTCCTTCCTGTATAACCCTTTGGAGGATTCTGTAGGGTGGCATGCTTCTCGACAGGACCATGTAAGGGATAGGGCCACGGTTTAGGGTTTAGGGTTTAGGGTTTAGGTTTAGGGTTTAGGGTTTAAGCTTCCCTTGAAGCCCCAAAGCCCACCGCAAAAACCATCAGCAGCCTAACCCCAAACCCCACCTGTCGGGGGAGCCCTGCAAGTGTCGCAGGCTATCCTTGTTGATGCCGCCGAGGTCGATGACCTGTCCATGAAAGAGCGTTTAGGGTTTAGGGTTTAGGGTTTAGGGTTTAGGGTTTAGGGTCGAACGGAGGGACCCCCCTATAAGGGACCGGAGGAACTTAGGGGTTATTCAGGGGGGCTACTCAGGTATCTAGGCACGTCTTGGGTATGTATAGGGGTTCTATGGGGGAATAAGTTCAGGGGTCCCTCCTCAGACCCCTTCAGGATTGGGGTTTGTAGAGTCAAGCTCTAAACCCTAGACCCTACCCCGAGGTTTTTACCTAATGTAGCATGGCGAGGTTCAGTGTAAGACTTTTGTGGGGAAGGGGAGCCCATGCACTTGAGGGGTTGTTTAGGGTTTAGGGTTTAGGGTTTAGGGTTTAGGGTTTAGGGTTTAGGGTTTAGGGTTTAGGGAGCTTCTCGGTCCGCGCGAAGGTGTTTAGGGTTTCAGGACTCGGGATGGGGGGGGCTCTAGAGGTGTTGACAGTTTTGGAGGAAGGCGAGGGTGTCCCTAAACCTAAACCCTAAACCCTAACCCCAAGGATGAGCTACTTCTTACCCAGAACTAGTTAGTAAGAAACTCAGGGCAAGTGGCCTGAAATGCCGGGCCGCTGTCTTTTCGGGAGGATCAGGGCTTGAGTCTTACAAACCCTCTGCCCACCTCAGCCCCAAACCCTAAACCCCAAACCCTAAACCCCTAAACCTCCTAAACCCTACATCCTAAATCCTAAACCCTAAACACCCCTAAACCCCTATACGCCTACCTCCATGCTGTCGTCCCGCAGCTCGCACATGCCCTGAAGGGCGGTGCAGTGTAGCAGGCTGAGGAGCCTCATCACATACCTTGGCTGGGCTTAGGGCTTAGGGTTTATGTAGGGTTGAGGGTTTAGGGTTTATGTAGGGTTTAGGGTGGTTTAGGGTCTAGGGTTTAGGGTTTCGGGGTTAGGGTTTAGGGTTTACGTTTAGGGTTTAGGGTTTAGGGTTTAGGGTTAGGATTCTTATAGTCTCCGGGTTTAGGGTCTAGGGGGTCTTAGGGTGTCGTGCTTATTAGATTCCATGTGGGGGCACACCGCTATTTCTTTAAAGAAGAATATCCCTAACCCTAAACCCTAAACCGTTAACCCTAAACCCAAGACGAGGCCCACCTAGATAGCTCCGGAGCCAGGCCAAGGCGCTGACGAAACTTCTCCACATCTTCCTCTTCAGGGACGTTTTGGGTTTCGGCTGTGGGGGATAGGGTGCTTTAGGGCTCAGGATTTAAGGTTTAGGGTTTTAGGGTTTGGGGTGGCCTTGTAGGGCTATTCTCGTGTCTAGGGTCTACGGTATATGGCTTAGGAGAATCAGCCGTCTCCTGCTTGGCTTCGTCTCTGCTGCAGAAGCACATGAGATTGCTGAAGGCGCTGAGCCACTCACCGCTGGAGGTGTAAAACAGACTTACCTCTGCGCCAGGTTGAGTTGCGTTTGCTTCCAATCCCCTGCGGTTCGGGACACGTGCGTCTACCTGAAAATGCCGGTGCTGCATTTTGGCTTCGGAGTTTAGCGTTCAGGGTTTTCGGACGAATTCTGGATAAAGTCTCCCATGGTTGTAGAAGTGCCGGCAAGTCGCTTCAGGTAGGCGTTAGGTATGCTGCATGTATAGGGCCTGTGTCGCACTGGATCGGGAAGTTCAGGGCATAGCCTCCCGATGCCCCATGATCCCTACAAGCTTTAAATCCAGCAACATCACACCCCAGACCCTCAACCCACCACCCTGAACTAGCAATTGCTCAAGAACCTCAAAAATCAAAACATAACAATCCCTATATTGCCCTTATGAGGGTGAACATTCCTACATTTTCGTGTGTGTTTTATTTTTATATGTATTTTGTTATTAGTTTTATGCATTTTTTTTTTGGGGGGGGGAATGGTTTTGAGTAGTAAACCCTAAACCCTGCACCCTAAACCCTATCATACCCTAAGGCCCCAAACCCAAAACCCTTACCAGCCCTCCACCCACTTTTCGCCCACTGAGGTGCGCTTTCCCAAAATCGCGAATAGGCTTGGTTGCTCCGGAAAACCTGGTCTGCGTCTTCTTTTTAGGGTTTGGGGTTTAGAACAAGCCCTGGTCTGAGGCTTCTTTTCGGTACTTCTTGTCCGGGCTTAAGGTTTAGAATTTAGATCTGGTAGGCTTTTGTGGTTTGATAGGTTAGGGTCTTTGGTTGAGGGTGTGGGGTCTCATAGGGTTTGATAGGTTTTCGGGTCTGAGAGGGATTGGGGTTTATGTGTTTCAGGTTGGGGAGTTCTATGGGGTTGAGGGCTTAGGGTCTTATAGGGTTTGAGGTTTAGGAATCCATGGCTCCGGGTTTAAGATTCAAGTCTAGGGTTTCGGGCTTTGTAGGGTACAGAGTTTAGGCGGGTGAGGGCGCAGGGCTTTGTAGGGTCTGCTTCTAGCTTCAGGTGAGTTTGGGGGTTTAAGGTCTGTGGTTCAGGGTCTTGCAGGGCTTCGGGCCGCATAGGATCTTTAAGGCTTATTGTTTGTGGATGTATAGGTCACGACACCTAGGTTGGGGTCTGATGTTGAAAAAGCACGTTGCCCTACAACCTAAGCCCTAACCCCTAAACCCCAAAACCCTTAACCTTAAACCCCTAACCCTACACCCCAAACCCCAAACCCCAAATCCTGAACCCCCAACCCTAAACCCCAAACCCCAAACCCAAAACCTTAAACCCTAAACACCAAACCCCAGACCCTAAACCCTAAACCCTAAACTCTAAACCCTAAACCCTAAACGATACAAAAGTCCAAGAGGCGATGAGGAAGCCCAGGACGAAGGTGTAGCCCGACCATATCGACTCAATTCCTTCCAGCTCGCGGTTCCGGTCCCCCTTCTCCTCCAGTCGCGTTGAGGGTTTGAAGTTTGGGGTTGACTCTGATCCAAACGGAAACGGTCTGTTACTTGGGCAGGATGATTTTTGTCACAAGATGTGACGTAACTCTGGGCGTTGGCCTGGAGCGACTATGAACAGACAGCCGGAGTTTGGGGTTTAGGGCTTGGGGTTTCGGGTTTAGGGCTAGGGTTTAGGGTTTAGGGTTTAGGGTTTAGGGTTTAGGGTTTAGGGTTTAGGGTTTAGGGTTTAGGGTTTAGGGTTTAGGGTTTAGGGTTTAGGGTTTAGGGTTTGGGGTTTGGGGTTTAAGGTTTAATTATGGTTTAGGGCATTTGGGGTTTTGAAGCCCCCCCTAGCCCTTGAGCGTAGAATCCCACATCACTGTATTTAGGCAGCTTCTTGTTCCATGATTCCCTTCGCAAAGACCTGGAAAATTGGTAAGCCCTCAACTCTTAACCCCTAAGCCGCTGAAACCTAAACAATTAGAACCCCTAGAACGCCTAATGAGAACACCTGAAACCCCTAGAACCCCGAGAACCCTGAAACCATCCTAAGTGCCAGAGCGCAGGGGCTGCATGACCTAAACCTCCTAAAGACTGTATAGGGTGTAGGAATTTTTACAGAGGGTTTAGGGGTTCAAATGGGTTAGGGTTTAAGGCTTAGGGCTTAGGGCTTAGGGCTTAGGGCTTAGGGCTTAGGGCTTAGGGTTTAGGGAGCCGGGCGCCTCTCCCCAGTAGATGTGCATGAGCACAGTGGCCAGAGCGCAGGGCACGGACCAGAGCAT